AAATACTAATTGCAATTATATTTCCTGAAATCATTCATTAATTCATTTTTTTTTGAGATTAAAACAATGAAAGTAAAAATTTATTCATAGTTTATATATTTTGGCGGTAATATAATGAGTGACTCTGACGATAAGTCCGATAATTGCTTTACATTCTTACATTCATTAGAAGTTAAATCAAAATTGTCAATTTTTTTTCTTCTTCAAGATTATCTTTCTTCAAGCTAATTTTCTTTCTTCATATATTATTTCTCAGGATTGTTTTTGATTGAAATGAATTTGGAAGAAGAGCAAAATTTTGTTACCATTTAAAAAGTAATTTTTGCCAAATAGAATTAAAATTTAATAAATTAATATCTATTAGATGGCGTAATAATTTTAAAAATAATATATAATCGATAATCACTCCATATATATTAATTTCCAATTATGACATAGGCTATTAAAATTGGGTTAGGGTACATTGATATTATATTGAAGATTATGGGACTGTTCTATCGAAACAATAGTATTAGAAGGATTATATTTATCGCGCGTAAAATCATTATTGTGAGGATAATGATACTGATTCCCACCAAAAAATGAATAATAAATATTCTGTAACGAATTATAATTAGGATGCATTTCGTATCCTGATGATATTCAGAATAATGATTATTAGGAACCAAGAAGATTCTCTTATCTCTATAAAAATATGGAGCATCGCCGCAAATTATTTTTATTTTTTAACATATTATTAATTATCAAAATTATACGGTCTAAAGAGTTAGGTGGACTAGGCAACTTTTTTTTTATCTTTAAGTAGTTGTATATGTGTAATGGAGGGTTGAATTTTACATACTTTATAATGGGTTTTTACTACTAAATTTTACATTGACAATATTTTATTTGCTAGATCCTTTAAAAGCAAATTAAGAACATGAGTTGCAAACCCAATGCATTCGATAATTGGATATTTATTTCTTACAAGTGTCCAGGCTTTCTTCATTACTTGCATTATCCTTTATTATGATGGTAACTTTTGTTTTTCCTATTTCTTCAATTACTTTAATAAATTCACTAGATATAAATATTCTCCCAGATGCATATTGGACCCTGTTTCAATTAATTTATAGAATTGGGACTTGGGATTGTTATAATAAAATTTATAATCTAGTGTTGTTAAGCGGCTCGATTTGAGTCGATTTAAAAAAATGGCGAACTCAACGTTCTATCCAGAAAAATATTACACAAGCCTGGAGACTTTGCTCATAGATGGCAGATTGGACATTTATAAACAAAATCATGAAGCTTTATATTTTTCCATTTAGTTAGCCGTTAACACTACATTCCACTCTTATATTTGTCCTTATTAATAAGGGTCAAATTTTTATCTTTACTATATTTTTATTTCTTCCATATTCACTGTTTAACAAATTTTTACTTAGTAAATATCTTGAGATTGCTGTTTTAAAGATTGAAAAATTTCTTCCATATACACTTTGCATTATGGAAAATAGACAATTAAACATAAAAATGGCTCTGGCGAAATTATCAATATATTTCATTAAAAATTTTTTCATATTATTATTAGTTGAATTAAAATTCGAAGAAGAAGTTGGCCTATCCTATTCCTATATCTCTTTAACCCTTAATCCTACTCCTTAACCTTATTTCGGTATTATTAAAATTTTTTTAAGTACATTGCAGTCAATAAAAAAATTTCCTTCCGATGAACATTACTAAAGTTGAGCTATTATTATATTATCGAAAATGAACGTATATACAAAAATAAAACTTAATTATGATATATGAACCAAGAATCTAGGAAAATAATTCCCCGGAAAAATAATCCCCGTTTTTTAAGATATTAAAAATTACAGAATTAATAAAATAGGAGAAAAAATTCCCTATATATGGAATAAAAATCCTCAAATAAAATATTTAAAATTTTGAGAAAATCAATTTCGGAGAATAATTTTCTAAGAATTATTATTAAGGATTTTTTTTAATATGATAAAATTTTGATCAAAAAAGAAATGAAAATTGGGAAAACTGTAGGGGAACTTTTGAAATATATCTGTTATATCCCATAACCTAATCTAGTTTTGGGTGAAATCAATAAAATAAATTTTATCTAACCCGTCATCTCATATGGACTAAGTAACTCTTGCTCTCATGCTAGAAGATAAATTATATTCTTATGGTTGCTGTTTGATTTTAATGATCATGTTATTTAAATAAAAGCATGCAAAACATGTCGGCTTTTTATGAGGATTATTTTTTCAAGAGTGGTTTTCTCCAGGATTCATTTTTTACGGGATTTTTTTCAAGGTTTCTTCTGATACGATCACCTTAAATTATATTTTATTTTGTAAAAAGTAATTTAATCATTTCATTCTCAATCTAAATTTAAATTCGTACACAAGGTACCTATATTTTATTAAATTATGCCATTATTTTTAAATATCACCATTTTAACAAACATATATCTCATGCGAAATGATACAAGTAATAATGTAAAGTCGGTCATTCGGCCGACAAATAGATTCCATTTAGTTTCTAAATCTGAATGCATTTTTCACTTCAGTTTGTGGAGCATCTAAAACGATTTGGGTCGACATTTTGGATTTTTTTTCTTTTTAAAATTCATGGTAAATTAAATTTTGGTTTCTATCGTAGTAAAATCTTTGATATGCTACCGTTTTTGATAATCGAGATGCTCAAGAAAAGTTCATAGGTTGATATGGTTTTTTAAAGCACCAATCATTTCAAAAGATGTTTGTTTTCTTTAGATAATAATTAATATACCGCATTGGAAAATATAACGTAGTATATAAATTTAAACTAACAACGGGGTCATTGGACAAATGATATCATTATTATAATTGTTTATAAAATTATTATTTCGATTTTCTAGTGATTATTTAAATAATTATCAAACTATTCATTTATAAAGTAAGAGTTTAATAGGCCCATTTGTTCACACATGTTTTACGATTGAATTCTTAGAGCTTATCGTTTTGCATTCTAATTTTTTATTTAAAAAAAAAATTGTTACTGATACCAATGCGAGAAATTAAATCTTTTACGAATCTACATTCTTTATAACATCTTACCTAATAGGAGCAAACTGTTTTTGTTCAGAATCGGGATTTATCTTATCATAGGGATGGGATAGTTTTAATCAGGGTTGTGTAAATACGATTCGGTTGACCATATTTGACAATAAATGTTTTTTAAGAGAATATTAATTTTATTTTGTATATATAATAGTAAAATAAATCTATAATATTAATTTTATTTAAATTCATTGCCATTCAATAACTAATGTTTTTCTCTCCTTGGCAGTGTCTTATTCCGATTCTTAATCAATATTATCATTTTCTTTAATTTTTAAATCAATTTTCCTGTTGTCGTGATCTTCAATCGATTTCTGTTTTAGTTAGAATATTAACCCAAATCATCTAATCAAAGAAATAGAACTAGGAATTATTAGAAATACCACTTCTCTTAATGGGCAAGCTGTGCAAAGCCCATTCCGCGAATTTGAGGACGGAATTTGATTGTTTCTTATGAAATATACTGCTTTCCACATAATTTGTTATTAAACATGCCGTTTTTATTTCTGAAATTTATGATATCGCTTGAAATATTTTCCTTATAAAATGCCTAATATTTGTATTTTATATCACATACATTTATTAAATTCACTACTAGAAAGATGCTCCCCTTGATATTTGGGTTGGGGACCCATTAAATAAGTAGTATTGTGATCACACGTGTTTATATCGTTTTTTCTTTTTTCAAATATATTTTTAATTTTTTTCCCTCAGATTTCTTAGAGTATCTGACCAGGTCAAATACCTCAATTCATTTAATTTGACCGGTTAAATGACCACTTGCCAATCCTGGTTTTAATTTTATTTCTATAATTTTGCTGGAGCATTAAATTATCAACCCCCCCCCCCTCATCAATATATAAGGAGCGAGATTATTTTAATGAGATTAGAATTAGAATTATCTTGCTCAAATTTCAAATTGCTATACGCGAAAAGTGAGTATTTTAAGCCTCATTTATAGCAATCGCGAAAATGGAGTTTAAATAAAAATGTTGCCATATCATTTACCGGTGAAATGCACATCGAGGTTACTATAAGAGAGGTTTAAGACTAGTTCTACAAAGCAATTAAAATATCGCAATTTTATCCACAAAAGATTTTCGAGCCAAAATAGGTTATTGCCAAATAAATTGCAGTTTTTTTTATTCATATGGCTTTTTTATAAAAAAATTTCTAATAAAATCTCGCAATTTTAGTTGCTTGCTATTACTTGGAGTTGGACAGTCTTATTACCATATTATAACTCATTGAAAAAAAACGAACAAAATAATAATCCAATATTTATTTTACCCTCATTCTTTATTTATTTTTTTAAATATTGGAATTTTGACTTTTACGTCTTTAAAGAAAAAATTTGGATAAGTGAAAAATATTAAAATCTCATTTCCTTTTCCGCCATTTTTCCTTCACTCACTGTTTATTTATTATTTTTCAAATACAGAAAAAAATATCGTTTTTTTAAATATTTGTTTATTTATTTTAAAAAAAATGTAAATATATATTTTTTGGAGACTTACGTTTTTTTAGGGGAACGAATCAACGATCTATTTTTTTTGGGATAGTTTTTTTTGTATGATTTGTAAACAAATTTTTTATTTTTTGCATAATTTATTTAAATTTATATTTTTTAAAAGAAGATAATTTTTTTTAAATATATTACTTATGGTTTATGGTATTTTAAATTTATCAAAATCCAGTTAATCTTCCAAAAATAAAATTCAGTCACATTTTATTCATTCGTTCATCCTAAAATATCTTTAACTACATTATTATTTTTTTTAAATAAAAATTTGCATTTTTGGTTATTAATTTGCTTTTTTTAGAAAAAACAAAAAAAAAATTAAAATAAAATTATTTTTTTAAAAAAACATTCTTCTAAAATTTCCAGTTTATTGTTTTTTTCGTCGCTTTTATTCTTTTTTGGAAAAATATTAAATTCACTTCTCCCGATCCTAATTTAAACGAAACTTTGTTCTTTCTGTGTACCTTTATTCTCACGTGATTCTCATGACATTTTATGACACTTCTCCTATATTCAAGGAGATATTCGGCAATCAAACTTTCGAGGATTTCGTTGATTTCGAAAGAAAATTCGCCGCTTTTCAAGAGCAAACCGGCGCCATATTCAGGATCAAGAGTAGCGTGAGCGTGGGCGCCGAAAATAAGAAGCGGAGCGTCAAAATTGACGAAAAGTTTAAATACGGGGGTGTCACTTACATTTGTGTGAGGCACGGAATAAATAAATCCCCCAAATTTTATCCATATAGTTCTGCCAAAATTAATTCTAGGTTCCTTTACTTGACCCACTTTTATGTTATAATTTAATTTTTTTAACTGCTAAAAAAAAGAATAATTTGTCAATTTTTATGTTTAAATATATAATTTTTTTTAGAGGAGCTTCATGCAATTGCAAAGCTTACATATCTTTGAGCTATAAAACCGCCATTCAAAAATTGTACGTAACTAGCACTAACCCCAAACACAACCATCCTTTACCTATCAAAAATCCAAAAGTTATCGTAATCCAAGAACCTCCCAAATCACCTTCACCCTTGGAAGATCACCATTCCGAAATCGAAGGTAATTCTAATCTCAATTACTTATTATTTTTTTATTGATTTCTAAAAAAATAATTGAAATAATCCTTTCTTTTGTTCCATAAAAATTCATTCTTATAAATTCAAAAGCTTAATTTTTTTATGAAAGATTTATTTATTTTTCTCTCCTTATTTGTCATTGATAATTTTATCATATAATATAAAAAAAAATACAATAAAAGCAATTATACTAAAAATTCAAGCCTCTCTTTGAGTTTTCTTTTTTTTTGGTTTGATAAAAATCTCTATTTTAGAACATCCTTGAAATTTCATTTTTTTTTAACAAAAAGAACAATTATTTGTAGAATATTACATAAAAAATAAATAAATAAATTCGACTACTTCTTACTATTTTACTAAACTAAAAACTATATGCCACAAAACAAAACACGCAGTTGTTATATAAAAAAAAATTACTATTTTCTTACTTCTAGTAACTAGGATAAGAATTTTAAAAAAATTAAAACACTGTAAATGTGTTTTTTCAGAGAGCTAGATTAAGACTACATATCTTACGATAAACCCTTTAATGTTCAGGCAGGACTATAGTTGGGTAATGGCTAAATGTCGGCTAATAGACGGAGAAGATCCGTAACATTAAAACGTTTTAATTTATATTGGTTTGTTTCAAATTTGAGATGTTACATTTATGAGAAAACCCCCGAGGTCAAAGTGATAACTTTCGGCTCGATGGCTTAAATGATCAAAAATATTGTAATTACCCAACTATGTTCAGGACAATAAAATCATTTCCGATAATTCTAGTGGGGAGTTTATTTTTTAGTTTTATTCTATTTAGGAACGATGAGATTAGTTTGTTAATACTTGGTTCTTATCCTGACTCATTAAGACCAAATCTCAATTATAATGGCTACCATTCACGTTGTCCAAATAATTCCTCCACCTCTAGGAAGGTTTTATTATTAGTTTAAAAAAACTAGCTGAAATTTTAAGTTAGCCTATATAAAACCGTGAGTATCTCTATCTTGGACGCCATTTTTTTTTATCTCAGCGTTTATTTATATGCATCATATTTTTTGTTGTTAAAAAAACTGTTTCATTTTATTTTCCATAAAAAGACAAGTAATAAACTTTTAAAAATATCATTTTTGAACAATTATAATAAAATAGCCTAACAACGAATTTTTTCGCATAAAACATTTTTTTTTTCAAAACAGCATTTTACTTATCTATAAATCTGTGTCATTTTTTTTTGCTCCTCTATGCTTATATTATAATACTAAGAAAAAAATTATCACTCAACTTCTCAAAAAAGCCTATATTAAATTTTAGAAGAAAAAAACCCCATTCGAATTAATGTTAAACTGCCTTAATCAAGTTTTGAATTTTGATAAAACTTGCATATTTATAATAAATAAATCACCGGATGTTAAAAAAACTCTTTTTTTGTTAATAATGCAATTTTTTTAAAAAAAATCATTATCACGCTTATGCCTTAAAGAATATTTTTTTAAATTAATCATGGTGGGGTACTCATGTGTCTTCTTTTTTTATATAACTATTTGGATGAATAATCTTACTCAAATTTGTACTTTAATGACAGCCAAGAAATGGCGCTCATCCATATATCGACTATCGAATAAATTCATAGGTCGATTCCCCTATATCACTGAGGTCAGCTCGAAACGCTGGTGCTCTTGCCGTGACTCAAGTCCAAATAGTTTTTAAACATACGAGTTGTCGAGAAAGGTGTCTTATCCTATTTTTAGATATATTTTTCGTCGAATTAATAGTTAGTCTCACCTGTTAATTAATATAAAAGCAGAGATGCAAGTACCGGAATCTCCGAATAAAAAATAAAAGTATTTCTAAGATTAATATCTTCATCTATCCATTATTTTTGATGGAAATTTTTTTTATAGCGAAATTGTATAAATATAAACAATATTTACGAACCCTACTTTTTATTTAAAAAATGGAAGATTATCAGTGTCTGGTTAAAAAAATTTGGAACTTTATTTGTTGCCCCTTGGTGGTTACAAAAATATCATAATATTTAAAAAAGAAATTTGTCAGGTGTATAAGGATATATTTTTATTTTTTCTTGCATTTACTAATAATTACGTGCGATTTTTTAAAATCTATTTTTCGTTTCTTCAAATCTTTTACCATATATATAGCACGCTTCGCAGAAATCGATTATTATTCGAATAATGAATTTAGGGTCCACATCATAACTTAAATGGGGTTCCACGTCATTACAGAGAAACCATTACAGAGAATGTATTTTACAGAGAAAACAAAAATAGAGAACGCACTTATAGAGAAACAATTATAGAGAATGTCGTTTATAGAGGATATTTTATAGAGAAAGTTTTATTTAGAAAATGACGTTTATAGAGAATGCACTTATAGAGAAAACAATTATAGAGAATGTCGTTTATAGAGAATAATTTTACAGAGAATGATTTTAACAGAGAATGATTTAGAAGAGAATTATTTTATAAAGAATGTATTTTATAGAGAATTATTTTATAAAGAATTTTATAAAATATGTTTATTTTATAGAAAATGTTTTATCTATATAATATATAACATTTTTGGGAATTACTTAGGCTTAACATAGTCATAAAGAAAATAAATTACATTATTTGACATAATATTAAATATTAGAATCACTATATAAGCAAATAATTGGGTAGTTTTTGAATTTTTACAATCATTATATTTATTAAGATATATATAAATTAAGTAACTATTTACTTTTCTAAAAAATGTAGCCAGATACTCGATTTTTTAAGTGCAACTAGTTATAGATATTTTTTGAAAAAATGTAGCTAGTTAATGGTAACTACTTAATTTTTTTTCATTTATAAGCTTTTTTTTATCTTCAGCAAAATTTATTTTAGTTCTTACTTATATTATTATTTTTCCTAAAAATTTTAAATTATAGATGGATAACCCATTCTTTAGTTAAAAGTTATATTTGTCACGAAACGTTGAACCAAATTTTGACATGATTTGTAAGGAATTTTACGAAATTAATTTTTGGTAATTAAATAAAATATATAGTGTTGTTAAAAGTTACTTTGGATGTAACTTAAAGAATATGATTAATACCATTTGTATGTGAAGTTTTTATAAGATAAACCTAGATAATCTACTAAATAAGAACTTAGCAATATTCATTTCGAAATATCAAATATATTTTTATTCATAAAAAATCCAACTAAACATAGTATAAATAATATACCAATATAAAAATACAATTATATGATTAAATTAAACATTTAAATTGTGGGATAAAGCCCTTAAATAATCCAGCATGGTTCTTGAATAAAAATCTTCAACAATTAGAAAAATCCTTTTGGATCTTTCGCGATATTCTTTCTTTGACAGTGGAGCCAATAATCCTAAAGAATATTGTTCCAATTTGTAACAATTGAGGCTATCTTCGTCTTTGAGAGCTAAAAATTAAAATTTATAATATATTATAATTACTAACTCTTTATAAATTTCCAGATTGTTGGATGATGGGAACTTATATGAGACGAAAAACTTCGATGCCAGCCCTCTACTGAATTATTTGTATTCCCATCGCTATCATTTTCCCAATCCACGTCTCTTCAAAGTATTCTATCAAGGGGGACAGAATACATATTTTCTTGATAGAATTCAGAGGCAAGAACCCATGAATTAATCCTCAACTGGTACATATGCCAGTGACATTAACATTTTTATATACATAGCAAAATTTGTGTGTTTTATATGCATTAAAAATTGGCGGATTTTTTTGAACCCTCCATATGCATTGCGACATATGAAACAGACATCCGCGCATTGCAGTCAGTGGAAACGACTGTTTAAAAGCAGATAACGCTGCATTCAAAGTCGATCATGATGGATTTCGGATTTAAAAAAATTTGCTAATTTTTTATTTGATTGAAAATATTAACGTAATCTGGTGACGTGATGCCATTAGAATATAAATAGCAGGGATAATGGTATTATGTTTCATCCCATGGATGGTGTATTTTTGCTGGAAGAGAGGAGGACATGTCTTAAATGTGCCATCTGCATACCATTTATCGCATGTTGATAAAAATTGTAAATTTTTGATGTTTGAAAATATGATACATCGGTGATCATAATGACCACTATCATATAACAAAAATTGCTCATTATTATTGGATAATTGATATTCAATTGGTATGACCAAGTCAATCAGACTCATGGGAACGGCAGGCGCTCTTCCTACTTGGCGTCTTTTTCTTTGAATTGTTCTTTTAATTAAGGAACAACTGGGAATTTTTCCAGTGGCGGCTATGGATATATTACTAGATAAATCGGCCATTATATTATTGGGCAGAGATTGAGAACTAGATGCCTCTTGTTTAATTCTATTTAGCTCTCTTCTTGTATCAATATCTGCAATGTCTGGTACATGGTTATGCTTTTGATTGTGGAATATAGGTATTCCGTTCTTAGTTCTGGCACGTCCACTGCATTCATCCACATGGAATTGAATACATCTCCAATAGCTTGTTTGGTTAGATGTTTTTTCTTTTTGAAATAGGTAAAAATCAAGAAGTAATATCTGATTATTTCGACTACTTAAAATAAATTCAGCCATAATTTAAAAAAAAAATTTATCAAAATTTAAAAAGACATAATTGAATAATTACTTAAATAAAAAAGTCTTCAGTGACAAACATTGATTTTGTTTATATAGAATAACATATTTTGTTTTCAATTGATAAACATTACTGTCATAAAAATATCTTGATATACCACATTCAGGTATTGTACGATCAAGGTTTAACGCTTAGTGACAAATAACTTTTAACTAAAAAATGGATTATCCGTGTGTCCCATCTATAATTTAAAATTTTAGGAAAAATAATAATTTAAGAACTAAAATAAATTTTTCTGAAGATAAAAAAAACTTATAAATGAAAATCATTACATTTGTGTTGTCAAATTAAGTAGTTACCATTAACTAGTTACATTTACAAATTCGTA